TTTGTCGTTGTCAAATAGTAATATTTTCTTAGTGAAGCAGACTTAGACAACATTCTTGAGGATATGTTGGATCCTACATTATCATTAATATTCCTTTGTTACAAGTGAAGAAAGACTACGCTGAAAATTCTAATTAGATAAACTAAAATTTACCGAAAGGTTTCTTCCCTTCCGTCGCTAAGCTTTACGTACCTAAGAAATAGTTGCAACAAAAGTGAGCAAATCCATCAGGAAGTTTCTTTTTTTTCTTGTGAACTCTGCTGATTTGACCATTATTCTGTTTTGTTTTCCAGTAGAACAAATCGAAAACTCTTCTTTTGTAAGTTGAAATCAATTAAAATGAAATGTTAGCGTATTTCTTCTGAATCGTACTTACTTTATATACTACAATATATGAGTTGAAGAAAAGAAACACTAACTGTGTTTTATCTAAATAGCATAAAATAATTAATTCCTTCCTCTCTTCTTCCCTCTCATTAACTTCCCCATGGGGATCTTATAAAGATTATTAAGTCTATTCGATGTTCAAAACGTTCCGTCGCCTACGGAGAAAAATCTATTCATAGTTCATAACTATTTTTCTTACATAAGAAAAAAAAAGAATGCATTAGAAAGGTTCCTTTAATTATATATATAAAAAGATTTTTAAATTCATAAATTCATATCTAATATTATTAATATTATCATCCATAGATCTTTTTTTTAATAAATTAGATTTATCAAAGTTGAAATGACTATGTCGTTATCAGCGATCCATTAATTCATTTAGAAAAAGATTTTGTTTTCTCATTTTTAAAAGTAATCTGATGAAACAGACCATAAAATTTCTCGTAACGGAAGTGCTCCAGCTGTTAAGTCGAGACTATGTGTATTATGTAGACTCAAATGAACTATGAATACCCTGAAAAGACTTCTTGCCCCTAGCTTATTGCTACGAAGATACTGAATTTTTACGGTATTTTTTTAAATGAATATTGTGGTAATAGAAAAATTGATTTTCCGAATTTCGACTTGAAACTTTGAATAGAGACAGATTGTCTCTATTCAAAGTTTCAAGTCGAAATTCGAAAATTAGTTTTTCTATTATCATGACATTCATTTAAGAAATACCGTAGAAGTTCAGTACCTTCATAGCCAAACGATTTATTAGTTAGGAGACTTCTCTCGTTAGTATACAATGTCTGTAATCTTTGAAAAAGATTATATTTTTGTTACAAAAATTTTTAATTTATGACAAACTTATTCATTTATTTTTCCAGTTAAAGTGTGATCAAATATTTTTTTCTGTTTTTAATTGAAGCATAACGTATTTGTTATTCATAAATAATTCCATTAATACTAGAAAATCTCATATTTCCCTTCTAGTTTTCTTGTAATTGTTAGAAAAAAGTATTCAAAATATCTGAAACTCAAGCATTTAGTATCTTTTC